ATTATCTCATTAAGTGGTTTTCGACATCAACTCTTACGTGCACTTGGCTTGAAAAAACAACAGACAACCACTTATACTCAAAGAGGTGTGACTATGGGAACTACTCAAAATAACACTAACATTCAAACTCGATTCACTACCTAAAATTGAAGAGCACATCATTGAGAAGAAAGAGACATACGAACTCTAATCTTTATCTTTTTTTTTTTTTAATAAATATATTAGTCAAAAAATAGCTTATTAATCATGAATGACGAGCTAAAGTATAGAAAAAAATATCCACACCCATATCGAGCTTCTATTATTCATCAAATCGATATTTTTGAGAGACATGACATACTATGTCCTTTCATCTATTTAAAAAATAATTATCAACTGAAAATGTACTGTGTGGGTTTATCATGCATACAAGAGAACTAAAAAAAAGAAAGATTAATTCATTTATAATCGAATATATATGGATTGAGACAAAAATACTTATTCTATTAGTTTCGTTTTGTGTGAGTTTTAATTATATTACTAGAGAGAATGTATTTACATAACCTGAATGTCCTTAACTCATAGAGAGAAAATATGACGAGAGCGACAAATTAAAGTACAAGTACGATCATGACATCGTCATTAACCAGCAGGGGTTACATTAAAAAAAAAGAAAAGAGAACGATTATATTTATAGAAAGAATAAAAAATTCCTATCATAATCAATAGTCAGTCTACTACGATGATACTTACTATCTTTCTTCTTGCGATTACTCTATGTCTAATCTTTGGATATATATGTATTCTGAAATCTCGTTGTAATTATTTCAAACAACGTGGTTTACCAGGTCCATCACCAGTTTTATTCTTTGGTCATTATCGTATTCTCTGGTCACTTCCTAATCTAAGTGAACAATTACGACAATGGACACAACAATATGGCTCGATTTATGGATTATTAGAAGGAACACGTCCAATGTATGTGGTTTCTGATGTAAATTTTCTTCAAGAAGTTTTTATCAAACAATTTGCATCATTTAATACACGTTCTATTCCATTTCTTATGAAGAAAGTGAAAGGAAATCAAGTTCATATGTTTGGTGCAAGTGGATCAACATGGCATCGACAACGACATATCATTAATCCAACATTTTCTACAGCTAAACTTAAGTTAATGCCATCTTCAATCCATGATTGTATTGAATCGCTGATGAATAAATTGAAAACTCTAGATGAAAAAGGAGAACAATTTAATATTTATGAAATGTATAGACGATTAACTATGGATGTTATTTGTAAGTATTTTTTATTATTATCTTCGGAAAGACAAGATATTGAGAGTTTTTGTTATATTCTTTTTAGGTCGTTGTGCTTTCGGAATAAATATGGATATGCAAAATGATATAAATAATATTTTGATGCGAAAATGTAAATTAGCAATTGATGATAATCCCGAGAGATTGTTTTTAACTAAACTAGGCAATCTGTTACCATTTCTTATTCCAATTCTTCACTATGTCATGATCGGACACATGCTATTAGGTGCATTTAGTCGTGCAATTGGATCAATGTGGTTTTTACCTAAAATCGAAGAACTTCCAGCATTATGGATACTCAATCAAATTGGAAGTATTATTAATACCAGACGACAAGTGAAATGCGATGATAAACTTCGTCAAGTTGATTTACTTCAATTAATGCTCAATGCAACGATATCTGATGATATTAAAATAACAGATGATTTGAATGATAAATCGATAGCATCAAAACAATTACATAAAGAAGAAGTAATCGCCAATATGTTATTGTTCATGATTGCTGGTTATGATTCAGTTTCAACAGTATTAGCTTCATGTACTTACGTATTAGCTACTAAGAATAATATACAAGAAAAACTTCGAGCTGAAATTGATGAACAAGAATGGAATGATGATAATCAACTCAGTTATGATATTATTATGAATATGTCTTATATGGATATATTCTTACGAGAAGTTCTTCGAATGTATCCAATCGCTATAGCAGCTACGAAAAGAGAATGTAATATGACAACCATTGTTAATGGTCATAAGATTGAAAAAGGTTATTATTTAATCAGATTTTTGAAAGTTTTCTTCAATTTTTTTTTCTTTTATATAGGTGTTGTTATTCAACCTGATGTTCTTAGTATTCATTATGATCGTAATTTATGGGGCCCAGAAGATCCGAATCTTTTCATCCCCGAACGTCATCATACGAAACGACATCCAATGGCTTACCTGTCGTTCGGTGCTGGTCCTCGGGGTTGTGTCGGCGTACGTTTTGCTTTTATGGAATTAAAACTATGTTTGTCTCAATTACTTCGAAATTATAGAATATTACCTGGAGATAATATCGAACAAGGATTCAAACATCAAGAGACATTTCTCATTCAACCTAATGCTGTCTATATTAAACTTGAAAAACGATGAACTATTACTTTAATTGTATCTCTTGTTGTTATTATAATAAATATATTCATAGTGATAGAGACTATTCAATATAAAGATTTGTCGAAATTAAATTTAAACTTTGATTTAAAAAGATATTTAACATCTTGATGGTGTGAATAGGGACGTGTGTGCAATGATTCATTACCCACACCCACACCATCTGACACTACCAAAATATGGATTAAATTTTATTTCTTCAATAAAATAATATATTTTCAAAATTAGTTTCTTTTATTTTAAAAATCTGAAGATATACAGATCTGATATTTAATTTTGTTCCAAACGAAATTTAATATTATCAATATAGCATGAGTTTGAATAAAGATTGAATACTACACGAACATGAAAAACATACTCATTATCTTTTGGTAATTTAAATGTGTCTTTTGTCTCTTGCCATTGTATGTAATTGCCTGATGATTTAATGTCTAGAAAATAAAATAGGAAAATAAAAAAGTCTTTAAATGATACATATTATTATTGGCATCAAAAGTAGATGGAGAGGAATAACTCCCTTATTACACACCCACCCTCCAGATATCAAATATGACTTACAAGGATTAGAAAATTTTCTTCTAAATGGCCACTTAGGAGTTACAATCCATACTTCAATCAGACCTTCAGCACATTCACTATCGCTTCCAAAATATGCTGATAAAGTGTACTGTAATTCTCCACTTTCAATAAACAGTAAATACCTAAGAAGTTCGATTCTTTGTTCCATACAACATACGCCTTCATCAGGACACTTATATGAACAATTTCCTACAAGTGAGTTCGAATAAGATATATTATGATGATATAAAATCGGTGGACCAATTTCTTCTTCCCATGGTAATTGAATTTTGTTTCCAGAAAGTATTGGACACTAAAATAAAGAGAAAACAGTAATATCACAAACTAACTTCAACAATCAATGAGATTCATAATTCATATACATCAAGCAAATTCGATAAATTAATGAATGATTGTCATTGTTGTATCTGAGAATCGATACTATGAATTAATATATACTTACATTTTTTTCAGCATTACCATTTTTCAATATTTCTTCTTTATCAATCACCCAAGTACCATTTGGAAGAACAACATTCTTAAATTGTGAACTATAAAATTGATTAAAATCTATTATTGAACCAGAAAGATTTGTCTGATCTAATCGAGCCCAACGAAAAATTGAATCGGAAAAGTCTGAATTAATAATAAAAGTTTTTAAATCAAACTGAACACCAGTCAAATGTGCTCCTCTAAAATTTGAATATGATAAACTTGAAGAATGAAAATTAACATAATCTAATGATATATTATGACAATCGGAATAATCCAAAGATACGGAAGAAAATTCATGTCCTATATTTTTTTCAAATTCTGAATTGATAATACTAATTCCATTCATTGTTGAACGTGTAAATTCTATTTTACCATTGAATTTACAATCAATAACTGATCCATTCGTTAAAATAACAGATTCAGAAGACAATTGATTAAAATTTGATCGATTAAATTTTGCATAACTTAAATCACAATCTTGAAAAATGACTTTTCTTTTGAAAGTACAATTAGTAAAAGATGCATTAATAAGTTTTACTTTATATGCTGTAAGTTGACCTTCAAACGTTGCTCCAATAAATTGAACATTTGTCATAATTGATCCATTAAAATTTGTATTTCCTTTAAATGTACAACCAATAAACACAGCATTCATTAGATTAAGAGATTGTAAAGATAAATAATCGAATTGATACGAGCCAGTAACTGGACTTTCAATAGTAATCTTTTGTAAATGAGCTCCAATTAATGATATAGTCGTATTTGGAGATGATTGATCAGGTAATAAATTATTTTCATAAAGAAATACAAATAATTGACTTCGTCGTTCACTATCAATTGATCGTAGAGTCATCAGAGTTTTTCGACGAATATAAAGCATTTTATTTTCTTCACTAGTAAATATTGTTTGATTATATGGTTGTTTATAAAGTATAGTAGAAATATCTTCAATATATTTCGAATAAAGTGTTTCATAATGTAAATCATATTGTTGTGCACGATCTTCATTACGATTCTCTTCGGCAATTTGACGATCTTGAATTTTTGTTTCATTTGCAATAATTAAATTAGCCATTGCAATTTCCCAATCTTTTGTTTGAGTTAGATTAGTAATTTCAAGATCATGTAAACGTGTTATATTGGCAATCATTTGATCTTGTATACGTGTTAAATTAGCTATTTCTAAATCTTTTTCACGATTATTGCTATCGATTTGCATTTGTTGAATATATGAAACTATGGTAAAGATTGCAATCATAAATGGAATAGAAGCTGATAAACTAAGTTTGATTAACATTAACGATCGTTTTTGAGATTTTCTATTCGATTCTGGTAAGAGGAGGGCCTTTGTATTACGGTAAATACTCTGGCGAAAACGTCGAGGACGAACCATATTTTAGATTGTGAAAAAGAAACAGAATTGCCTTTTTCTCGATAATACTTCAACATAAGTAAAGATTAGTATTAGTTTATCTTTAGATGTATTTATTATACAGTGTCCGATTACAAAATATTATTCATTGACAATTTCAAAAAATGAAATCGATACTTGTAGGTCGTTTTTTTTTACGTCCATATTGCGACATAAATTACTTATTTTAGTGAGTCATATTACACATTCGAAAAGAAATAACATTGAAATAGTATATCTTTTATAATATTTCTTTTTTTATCGACACTTGTGAAATCGTGTTTTTAACTTTAATATCATATTCGAGTTACTTGAGGATGTGGATGTAAATGAATAATGAACATCCACACCCACACCCTTGTTCTAAACATTGAAATGTATTTATTTTCTTTATTCTGTTTCTTATCGAGCGAAAAAATAGTCTGAAATTAATTGTAAATTACATATAAAAATATTCCCATAATTCAAAAAGTGGTAATTGTTCGTCTGTTATTTTACTTTTTTCCAATATATGCAATGTATCGAATTCTACTCTTAACATATAATTTGTTGTTTCAAATGTGTGATCATCGCGAGTTTGAATAATAAAAAGAACTTCTCTCAACACTGGATTCCAGACACTATCCATCATTTCTACATTTTCTCCATTTGTTTTAAATAATAATGTTAGATTTTCATTTCGATAAGGAAATTTTCCACTTTCCTTTGGATCTAAATGAAACATGTATACATCTAGTTCGATTGAACCATGTTGCCATGTGCCCAAAATTAATTTTGTTTGTTGAATATCGTAGGTCATTGTAAGAAAATTATTAACATTTGGCATCAAATGAAAATCAGTAACAATATCTTCTTTTTGACCAACTAAATTCAAATCCATTTTAATCCAATAAGCATTGACTGTGTCACCTTCAAAACGTGTTCGAACTTGTATAATCCAATTTTCATTATAATCAAAACAAGTACATGCAGCAAAACTAAATGCATATTTTTCACCATCCTGTTTTGTATATAATTTAGTTACATTAAGACTTTGTAAATCATATTCTTCAATGAAAAATGTAAATGTACTTCTATCTCTCAAACCAAATAATCGTTTTCGAACGGGATCGTAATAAAGAAAAGCAATATTACCATCGTTGTACATCCAAGGACTTTGATAGTACGTGCTTGTATTATAGTTGTAAGCTAATAGAAAAAGACGTTGAAACGAGGTCGCACCGGTAATAGGCATATAAATAAGACTTAGATCTGGATTTACAGCGACTGGACCACCAACAAAATAGTAGAGATCAGACTGATCGCGTACATCGAAAGTAAAGTTACCCACGAAAGAAAGTGTTTTCGTATCCATGTCGAAGACAGAAAGGTTACCGTAGTGTGGAAAGACATCAGAACTAAAATAATAAACTAAGTCTTCTATTCATTATTTTAAACTCACTCGTGATATGGTTTAATGGTATAATATTTAGCGCTGTAAACAATATTGTAGAACACACTGAGAACTATA